GCCTTTCCTGTCCCCACAGCGCGCACCCTGGCGTGGCCTTTTGCATCAGCCTGGGCCCCATTCACACTGTAACCTGAGCCACTGCAAATGAGAATGTCCCTTCTGTGCTAAGTCTTTCCAGAGACAGTCTCAAATCCTTAGCAGGGATTTACAAGGCAAGCACAGCATGATCCAGCCCCTGCCCAGTTCGGCCTGCCTCCCACCCAAGCTTCTCACCTGGTTGGCACCTTCCCGGGGTCTCCCCGTCTCTGTCACCACATTAGCTTGCTGTGCGTGTGATGTCCCCTGTCTGGAGCACGTGCCTCCTCTCTCTCCAGGTGTCAGCTTCAGACGCCTCGGGGCAGCCTTTCCTGGGTCCTGGACATCGCCCACCCGGCCAGCGTCCGGTGATTTCCCAGCATGCCATGCGCTTCATTGCTCCCTCCTCTGGAGCATGTGCTCCGTGAGTTCAGAGGCTGTGTCTGGTTTTGCCCGGACGAAGCCTCAGCTCCAAGCACAGAGCTGACTAGTAAGTGATTGACGATTGTAATCACCAGTAAGTGATTAGTGACTGGGTTATGTGGGAGCTGTGGATGTGGGCAGTTCTGGGTGATGACGAGGGCTGTGGCAGGATCCCACGAGTGGCAGTTAGACTTGGAGGACGTGGGACAGGGTGCTGCACAGGTGAGCCCATGGCCCCAGTCACGGAGCGACGCCAGCTGGAGGCCCTGGGCTGGGGGCTCAGTCTTATGAGTGAGGACAGGCGGGTGGCAATGATGGATGTGGGGAAGGAGGACGGGGCGGGAGCAGAGGGGATTTTTCAAGAAGGCAGGTGTGGACGGGTCTGAGTGGGATGAGAACAGTGTGGGGGCTTGAGAGTCTGGATGGGATTGAGATGGGACTGTGGCATAACTGTCCCAGCTCCCTTCGGAAGCCGAGGCAGGTCAGAGGGTGCCTGGCTTCTGCCTAGCTCCTGGCTCAGTACTTGGAACAGCAGCATGGGGTGGTCACCATGGCGGTCGGCGGGTCCTGGAATGAGCTCACCATGGCTGGGCCTGGCAGCAGTCACTGGACAAGCACCTGGAAATCTAGGGGGAGTTGGTTACGGCAGGGCCCTTGGGGCACCCAGGCCGGCCGCGG